AGAGTGTTTCGAAAGCTGTTATTACTGTTCCTGCTTATTTCAATGATGCCCAAAGACAAGCAACCAAAGATGCTGGCAGAATTGCAGGCCTTGATGTGCAGAGGATTATCAACGAGCCAACTGCTGCTGCACTTTCTTACGGAATGAACAACAAGGAAGGCCTTATAGCAGTTTTTGATCTTGGGGGTGGAACCTTTGATGTTTCCATTTTGGAAATTTCCAACGGTGTTTTTGAGGCACGTATCTTTGGTCATCTTCCTCATTTTCCTTGATTAAATGATGGTACATTTCAATAACTGCTTTCTTTTGGCTCCTCTCTTTTATAGGTGAAAGCAACAAATGGTGATACATTCTTGGGTGGAGAGGACTTTGACAATGCTTTATTGGATTTCTTAGTGAGTGAATTCAAGAGCACTGAGGGTATTGATCTCTCAAAAGATAGGCTTGCCTTGCAAAGGCTTCGAGAGGCAGCTGAGAAGGCCAAGATTGAGCTCTCATCTACATCGCAAACAGAGATTAATCTGCCATTCATCACCGCTGATGCTTCGGGTGCGAAGCATCTTAACATCACACTTACCCGATCTAAGTTTGAAAGTCTGGTCAATCACTTGATTGAAAGGACTAAGGCTCCATGCCAAAACTGCTTGAAGGATGCAAGCATATCTACCAGGGATGTCGATGAGGTCCTTCTTGTGGGAGGAATGACCCGTGTACCGAAAGTCCAAGAGGTAGTTTCACAGATTTTCGGAAAGAGCCCGAGTAAAGGAGTAAATCCTGATGAGGCTGTTGCTATGGGTGCTGCCATTCAGGGTGGCATCCTGCGTGGTGATGTTAAGGAGTTGCTTCTCCTTGATGTCACCCCTCTATCACTTGGAATTGAGACATTGGGTGGTATCTTTACCAGACTGATCAGCCGGAACACAACCATTCCAACAAAAAAGAGTCAGGTACCTTCTAAGATCAACAAATTTTTATTGGACAGAATGAATCTTTAGGAAGTTTTGTTTCTCGGCCAACTAACTAGTATTTTCCTTTGGTTATTTAAAACTTAAGTCAGAATATAGTGAGATGTATAATACGTGCTCACAGTGATTCTCTATTTGCCAAATTTGAAATCAAGTTGACCTTTTTAGCTTCACACCAACTAACCAAAAGAAAAAAATAAAAATAAAAAGGTCTGAGAATGGATCTTAGGTGTTTTGCCTCTGTTTGTCTCTTGGTGATTTTTGGGTTGTTTAGTTTTTCGCAAGTTTGCCTTGGTAGGCTAATTTTCTTAAAAATTTCTGAGACGCTTTGCGACAGGGTGTGCTCTGCACATAATGGTGAGGCTTACATCATCATGTTTCATGTGGTTCTTGGGGCTTGTGATGCCCCATAGTGTCACTTATTTTCTTGTTAATCATTTTTTTTCTTGCAGCAATACTTTGTTGATGCATATGAATTTGTCTACAAGCTACCTTTTCTTGTGAATTTCTCCTTGCTGATTGTCCTCTCCATTATATAGGTATTCTCGACCGCGGCGGATAATCAGACTCAAGTCGGTATCAAAGTGCTGCAAGGTGAGCGTCAAATGGCGTCTGACAACAAGATGCTTGGTGAGTTTGAGCTTGTGGGCATCCCTCCTGCACCAAGAGGCTTGCCTCAGATTGAAGTCACATTCGACATCGATGCAAACGGTATCGTCACAGTCTCTGCCAAGGACAAGGCTACTGGAAAGGAACAACAGATAACCATCCGCTCATCTGGCGGGCTCTCGGATGACGAAATTGAGAAGATGGTCAAGGAAGCCGAGCTGCATGCGCAGAAGGACCAGGAGAGGAAAGCTCTTATTGACATCAGAAACAGTGCAGATACCACCATCTACAGCATTGAGAAAAGCTTGGGTGAGTACAGGGACAAGATTCCTGCCGAAGTTGCGAAAGAAATCGAGGATGCTGTTGCAGATTTGAGGAAGGCGATGGCAGCGGACGACATTGATGAGATCAAGGCCAAGCTTGATGTTGCAAACAAAGCCGTGTCGAAGATTGGGCAGCACATGGCCGGTGGTTCTAGTGGTGGCTCTTCATCCGGAGGCTCACAGGGTGGTGAGCAGACTGCAGAGGCCGACTACGAAGAGGTCAAGAAGTGAGTGTTGTGGTAGTAATTCTTTGTTTTTGGTTTTTTATTGGCTCTAAATCGCTACTGTTAGAGGTGATGAATTTTTAATATTAAAATTTTCCTCAGAGGACATGAGGTCCTTGATGCCGGGTTTTGTATCTAAATTTTGGGGTTTTTAATGTACTATTTTATTAGGTAGTCGTTTAGTCTACATGGGTTTAAGCAGGCCAATAACAGATTAGATACTGGCTCTCTATTGAGAGAAAACACACAAAAAGTTGATATTGTTTCAAGCTTCTGATTTCTCATAATCATTTGCGATTCCTACTGTTATTCCAAGTGTGGTTGTGAGCTTGTGGTGTACGTAAATCAAATTTTGCCAAAAGGATTAAAAGATGTTTTTGTAGCAAAAAAATACGTAAATCAAATTTTGCCAAAAGGATTAAAAGATGTTTTTGTAGCTTAAAAAAAAAAAAAGGATTGAAAGATGATTGGAATTGAAAAGATTAACAATTGTTCATAGGACAAAAAAAAAAGAGAAAATATATTTTTACAAAACGCACGTTATAAGAGGATTGAAAGATGATTGGAATTGAAAAGATTAACAATTGTTCATAGGACAAAAAAAAAAGAGAAAATATATTTTTACAAAACGCACGTTATAAGAAAAACGATTTACAAAATAAAAAAAGTAAAAAGCAAAACACTTAAAAAAACAAAAATAGAAAAGTAAAGAAGAAAAAAAAAAGAAAATGAAGAGGGGCTGTCACGTGGCAGTTTTAAGAATGAGCATTGTAGTAAGAGTTTTAGCTTTTTTTATGTAATGTCAGACTAAAATCTAAATATATATGTGTGTGTGTAAATATGCATATATATATATATATATTTTTTTTTTTTTTGCTTAGAAGATAAAAACTAAAAGCTAGTTAATAGGGTTAACTTTTAACATTCTCAAGTGTGAAGGTTATTATTAAAAGGTTTCCTAACAATGGAAGTCTGTTACAGGTAATTGGTTAAGGTTTCCTAAAAATAGGAGGGGATCTTAGGCTGTTAATGGCCTTACCCTATAAACCTGTGCGTATGGGCAGTTAGAGCCGCAAGAAAATTAGAAATACATAAACACAACTCAGAGTCACTGATTAATCCTACATTCCTGACCAGTTAATCTATTTTCTGTCCTCAAATAGACCTTCTAAAACCTATATATATGTGTGTCTCAATCAAGTTCCTATTCCACCAACCAATACAACAACAATTGTGTTAGGAAATCTGCAAATATGAAATTCTCAGTTATGTGTTTGGCTATTATTTGCATGGTGATGCTAAGCCACCATGTTGAGGTCACAGCGGGGACAAATAAGCTTGTTGATGGGGTGGTTGACCCCTGCAAGAAACCTGGTGGTCCTCACCCGGGCTGTAACCCCAACCCTAACGCCAACCGCGGCCATGACGCAGCTAACGACTACGACCGTGGTTGCAGCGCAAATCATCGCTGCCGAAAAGATTAAGAGCGATTCATGATGATGGGAACGTTTTTTAAGCAACTATTATGAGACTAGTACTCCTTGTGTCTTGGTTAGAGAAATCATAGTTTCTTGATATTTAACCATGATAAATGTTTCTTTGCTGTTGTTATTATTGGCCTCATGGCCAATTCATTTCTGTTTGTATTTTTTTTTTGAAAAAAAATAAAAGTTGCTTGTATTTTTGTTGACACCATTTTAGTAGAAATAATTGATGTTGACATGAAAACTTGATCATCAGAGTGAATTATGTATGTGATCGTCTCATTATTGCAACACCTTGAAACACAATAAATTATCAAGGGTTACTAATTAAATCATTATGTGTGCTTGCCATTTTAAAAGTAGAGATTAATTATATAGGATTTTCTCTGGTTAGAACGGTAGGACCAATTTATGACGGTTAGATCTTATTAAAATGGCATTACGTTCAAAACAAAATGTAGAACATAGTTTTTTTTTTTTTTTTTTTTTATAAAAATTTAATGAGCTAAAAGTAAAAAATTACTAGTAGTTTATTTTCTTTAATCATATTAGAGAAACTCCCTAATTAGACGAGCCTATAAAAAAGTATACTAGCCTATAAAAAAGTAAAACAAGAATTAGTACAGCGCTATATAATTCCTATTTTTCTCTCTTTTCTATGTTTTCTTTCCCAGTCATATTCTTTTTTTCCTTTCTCATTTTGTTTTTTGTTTTTTTTGTTTTTTTTTTTTTTTTTTTACAATTTCTTTCTCTTGCTTTCGCGCTCCAAACTGAAACAGAGGTACAGAAAGAAATTGCAATTTCCTGAAACAATAATATTCTGAAAGTTGGATAAAGATTTAATCAACTGCAAGTGGTTATTCTTAACAATCACGCATTTTAAAAGTAAACTCACAAAAAATTCAGTTATTGTGGTCGGCTACAAAAACTCAACACTCTGCTCTATTACAATTGAGAAGTACATATTCAACAAAATACACCAAAACAAAAGTTATCTGCTAACCTTAATTGGATTTTTGTCTTATACAATTAAATCTCTATATATAAATAATATCTTTAGGACCATGAAAAGTTTTTAATTAATTGAGATATTATTTAATCGATATGAATTAATACCTTTACAATTAAGTCGGGACCAGTCAAAAATATTATTTAATTTAATTTATTGAGTATCAATTTATTGATGTTATAATGTAGGATAAAGAAAGCAGTACCAAAGATATTCTGACGATAACACATATAGTTGTCCATTCAGGATTAGTTTTAGCGTTTAACAAAATAAACGTCACCTTAACCTTTTAGTAATTCACATGAAATTTCCATCTTTTTCTTTATATTTGTTATTCTACTTGTATCATCAACAAACTGGAAAGAAACGTAAACGACAAAATGATCTGTAATATAACACACCCTAATATATGGTCTGAGAAATGTGTGAGATCCTTAACGAGACAGAGTTTACTCTCTAATTGATAACTAATTCAACGATGACGAAAGGCTTTTCGTGAATTGATTTGAATGAACATTATGCGGATTAAGAAGGAAGATTACCGTTTAAAACATTAGTATGGTAACTAAAGATATATATCAACGAGTTTGTTTCTATCATAGTTACCACTAAATACTAAAATTTTAATGACGTGACATGATAATAATTTAATTTTATTAATTATCATTAATTTTTTATTCAACTATTCAATTTATTATAACCGTCGGATTAATATCTTGTGGCTAAAATAATAATATCTATTGACGGATAAATATTAAAGTAACTATTAAAACCACGTATATGAATATTATTGGTTTCATCTTTCTTCTTCATATTGTATTTGTGGTCATAATTCACAAATAAGAGCATCAGCCTTTTATATTTGACATAAAATTACTAATTTGAGAAGAAAGTGTAAAGAGTGTTTGAGCTGAGAACTTGAGTTGAAAAATGAATTTATGTGAGAAAAAATATTGTACTAAAAACAGTTAACAAGATAATCAAAGATAAATTCCTGGCATAAATAAAAATTTAACCGGGTACCTTTTCATGGAGAGGCCTTTTCATGTTGGAATCCATCTTATTTTTTTAGAAAAGTAGGGCAAAATCTACTATAGATAAAAGAGTAGAAACGCTTGTCACTATAGCGTTTTGGTAGTCCAAAGCGTACAACTTTGATTTTTTTTTTTTCCCCTTTATTTCTTTTCTTTCTTTTTGCTAATTTTTAACCTTTTTTTCTCCTTTCTTGATTTTACATTACTTCTTCCCCCCTTTTTTCTGGCTTTATTTATCTACTATTATCCTTAAAACCTCTAAATCTTTATTTGTTTTAAATTTTATCGTTTTTGTGTTTTACCTTTTTTCATTTTTTTTTTAAATCTTTTTTTTTTCCCACGTAAATTTTTTTCTTTTTTTTTTCTTCTTTTTCAATGCTTTATTTTTTCCTTTATTTCTTTTTAGCTTTATTGCATATTTTCCTGTAGTCTCTTACTCCAATGCTCTCCAATCTTTTTTGTTCATCTTTCAATGTTGGTACATTTAAATTTTATCGCTCTCTTATTAATTTCTTAAACTTCCAATCTCAAAAATCCTCACCGAAATAATCTCTTTAATTATGATCAATTATAGTTATATATGCATCGAGTTATTTTGACATTTTACTATTTATTCTTTTCATGGATATCGAGCTATTATGTGTGTGGATATGTGTTTATATGCTTTTGGGTTTATTTGAACTGAAAAACTAAATTAAAATTTTACTTGGTTAATGAGATATACTCCCTTTTTTTTTTGTATATCTTTCATTTTTTCTACATTTAAACTTTATCGTTCTCTCATTGATTTCTTAAACTTCCAATCTCAAAAATCCTCACGGGAATAATCTCTTTAATTATGATCAATTATGACTTTATTTCGAGTTATTTTGTCATTTTATTGTTTATTCTTTTTATGGGTATTGAGCTATTGTGCACGTGGGTATGTGTCTATAAGATTTTGGGTTTATTTGAACCGAAACACTAAATTAAAATTTTACTTGGTTAATGAGATATACAGTTTTAACTCCTTACTTAATAAACCTTTTATTTTCAAAATGAATCTAACGCAATAATGGTATGTAAGGGTTTCAAAATGATAAGGTAATAAAAAAAATAAGTTTTGAGGAAAAAAAAAGTATCTGAAATAGAAAGTCAAAATGTGTCACCAGTCCTTTTTTTTCTTTTTACTGATATATTTGTTTCTTTTACTATTTAATTCCTCATAAAATCCTAACCCGTTATACTTTATTCGCGCTACATTTAGTCAAAAAATAGTAAATTTATTATCAAATACTATTTGTACAAATAACTTTTTTTATTGTTAAATTTTCAAGTAAAACTTTCTTATATTCATTCTTTTTTACTCATTATCTATATTATAAAAACCTCAATTATAATTTAATATGTGCAAATAATCCTTAACGCATACTATTCATCTTTCATGGTTCAATACACATTGTTTGGTGCTTTGCCTCGTATTTATTTCTTACTTTGACTTTGTCCCTCTCATTTTTTTAATCTTCATTTCTTTCTAATTTCATTCTTTATCTTTTATTTTTTTCTCTCCATTTTAACTTTCTCCTTTAATTCTTTTTTAACTCCATTGTCACAAATATCTCTTACGAACGAGAATTTATCTTTCTTTCTTTCCGCTTTTGTTTTCTTTTATTTTTTTATTTTTGGCGCCTTTTGTCTACTATAGTCACTTATACTAATATTCTCCTATTTTTTTCTTTTTTCTTCTTCGTTTACTCTCCTTCTCTCTCTCTTAGATTTCTTAAACCTCAAATCAAAATTTTCTTATCAAAATAATCTTCTTACTTGTGCTATTTTTTTATTTTGCTATTTTCTTTATTTTCTTATCTTTTAATTTAAAAATGTTACGTGGATTTAATTGCATAATCTTTTCACATAAACTATTATTTATATACTTTTTAAATTTATTAGTAAACTTTGTTTCTATATTTTGTTTGTTATGTTCCACGTTATTAAAATTTTAATTACAATTCCATACATGCATCAAATGTAGCAAAACTAGTAATTTTTAAAGGGCAATATTTTTTTAAAGTGGGGTGTGTAATAAAGAACTTTATGAATGGGTAATTTATTAATAAAGATTTTTATTAAGATAGTGTGTGAAGAGTAAAATGAGGGATGCCAATAGACGTATTCTAATAAAATTTCTAACAAATGGGCTTAAGTGAGATTAATTAAAAACCTAGGGGGGAAAGCGAGAAGTTTTTAAAATTATGATAGTAAAGTGGGAAGAATGACCTTGTGTTGTAGTTCACCACCACTGCCCTGCTGAGACGCCGCCAAGAGTTTCTCCGCTCTTCTTCTTCTTCTTCTTCTTCTTCAACTCTGTAAGGATTTTCTGTTTGCTATGTGTCTATAAGCTTTTGGGTTTATTTGAACCGAAACACTAAATTAAAATTTTACTTGGTTAATGAGATATACAGTTTTAACTCCTTAATTAATAAACCTTTTATTTTCAAAATGAATCTAACTCAATAATGGTATGTTAGGGTTTCAAAATGATAAGGTAATAAAAAAATAAGTTTTGAGGAAAAAAAAAGTATCTGAAATAGAAAGTCAAAATGTGTCACCAGTCCATTTTTTTCTTTTTACTGATATATTTGTTTCTTTTACTATTTAATTCCTCATAAAATCCTAACCCGTTATACTTTATTCGCGCTACATTTAGTCAAAAAATAGTAAATTTATTATCAAATACTATTTGTACAAATAACTTTTTTTATTGTTAAATTTTCAAGTAAAACTTTCTTATATTCATTCTTTTTTACTCATTATCTATATTATAAAAACCTCAATTATAATTTAATATGTGCAAATAATCCTTAACGCATACTATTCATCTTTCATGGTTCAATACACATTGTTTGGTGCTTTGCCTCGTATTTATTTCTTACTTTGACTTTGTCCCTCTCATTTTTTTAATCTTCATTTCTTTCTAATTTCATTCTTTATCTTTTATTTTTTTCTCTCCATTTTAACTTTCTCCTTTAATTCTTTTTTAACTCCATTGTCACAAATATCTCTTACGAACGAGAATTTATCTTTCTTTCTTTCCGCTTTTGTTTTCTTTTATTTTTTTATTTTTGGCGCCTTTTGTCTACTATAGTCACTTATACTAATATTCTCCTATTTTTTTCTTTTTTCTTCTTCGTTTACTCTCCTTCTCTCTCTCTTAGATTTCTTAAACCTCAAATCAAAATTTTCTTATCAAAATAATCTTCTTACTTGTGCTATTTTTTTATTTTGCTATTTTCTTTATTTTCTTATCTTTTAATTTAAAAATGTTACGTGGATTTAATTGCATAATCTTTTCACATAAACTATTATTTATATACTTTTTAAATTTATTAGTAAACTTTGTTTCTATATTTTGTTTGTTATGTTCCACGTTATTAAAATTTTAATTACAATTCCATACATGCATCAAATGTAGCAAAACTAGTAATTTTTAAAGGGCAATATTTTTTTAAAGTGGGGTGTGTAATAAAGAACTTTATGAATGGGTAATTTATTAATAAAGATTTTTATTAAGATAGTGTGTGAAGAGTAAAATGAGGGATGCCAATAGACGTATTCTAATAAAATTTCTAACAAATGGGCTTAAGTGAGATTAATTAAAAACCTAGGGGGGAAAGCGAGAAGTTTTTAAAATTATGATAGTAAAGTGGGAAGAATGACCTTGTATTGTAGTTCACCACCACTGCCCTGCTGAGACGCCGCCAAGAGTTTCTCCGCTCTTCTTCTTCTTCTTCTTCTTCTTCTTCAACTCTGTAAGGATTTTCTGTTTTTAATCTTCTTCTTCTTCTTCTTTATTACTTTCATTTCGATTTTAAGTTATAAGCTCTTCTTCTTCTTCTTATTTACTTTCATTTCGATTTTAAGTTATAAGCTGGTTGTAATTTTTTTATTTTTCACTTTTTGGGTTTGTTGGGTTAGATTTAATGGCTGTCTTATTGCTTATCTGAACTTGAAAAAACTCTGATATATATTGATGAAAGGCCTGGGCGTGGCTTTGTAGTTAGTTTGTAACGTCCTCTATGTGTTTGATTTTTTGTCTCGTAGAAAAAGAAAAAAGTCTGATTGCTTATTTCATGAGGGAGTTTTTCCTGTTGCTTTTTGTAGTTCGAGTCTTTTTTTTTTTTAATTCTTTTTTATTCTTTTACTTTGTTGCACATTTCGTTATTTAGCATATGAATAAGCTCTTGAACTTCCCATTTATTTCTTCTTCTTCTTCTTCTTCTTTTCTTTTTCCTTTGCATCCCTTTGTTTTAGTAGTTTACTTCATTGGATATTTATTTGTTTATTTCACTTTTAAATGCTTAATTTGCATCATTATCGATATACATATATATATATATATATTTTTTTTTTTTTCTATAACTAGTTTTACGCCAATTGGGTTTCAAGAATTCGCTATGAACTTCATGTGTATGTATGTTTATGTATGGTTCTTTTTGTCAGTGTATCGGTATTTGTTTTTCTCTTTCAGTCTGAAGTCTATAAAGTACCTTTCATCAGTATTACTAATACTCGTTTGATAAGTTTTGGTTTGTTAAGGTTGTGCATACTACTTTTTGTAATTTTAGTTTAATAATTGTCAAAGTTGCTTGTATGTTTACTGTTACAAATATGGATAAGCAATACATATTTTTTTTCCTAATAAAAGTTTCCGAGGAGATAAATTGAGCTGCTATGGGTAGTAAGAAGAGGGGATCAGAATCTGTAGAAGTTGAAGAGGGTCAACTAGAAGCGCCTGCGAATGAGGTTGTTTCGAGTGGCAAATCGAAAAAGAAAATGAAGAGGGAAAAGGGCAAAGAAGAAGACTCAGTGAGAGATGAGGACGCGGGACCTTCTGTGGCTCCTAATTCCATTAAGCCCATGGAGAGGAGAAAGAAGAGGAAAGCATTGGACAAAGAGAGGCGTCATTCCACTTTGGAGAGTGAAAAGTCTAAGCCCAAAAAAATGGATGTCGAATCGAAACACAACAAAATTGAGGCATCTGGTGTGGCATCTACAATTGGATCTTCGTCTAGTGGCATTCTGCCCGAGTTCCACATTGGTGTTTTTAAGGACTTGGCATCTTCTGATGCGTCCGTGAGAGAAGCAGCGGCAGAAGCGCTGGTAATGGAGTTGCAGGACGTTCAGAAAGCGTATGACAGGCTTGAGAATAAGGATTCAGTTGAGGGGGGATTGAAGTTGGAAGCTGAAAAGGAGGATGGCTTGAATGAGTGTGCACCCTCTTTGAGATATGCTATCCGAAGGCTTATTCGTGGTGTTTCTTCATCAAGAGAGGTATGTTGAATAATTATCTTTTATCTTAGCATTTGTCATTGTTTTTGCTTAAAGTATGTATGTGAGTATGTCTAACTGTTGTATTGTTACTACGTATAAGACTATAAAAGTTGTATTGCTCTCTCTCTCTCTCTCTATATATATATATATATATGTGTATATTTCTCTATATGTATGTGAGAAGTTACTGTTTTTATTTATTATAATGATTTTAAAGTTTGATCAATAATACTTTCAGAAAGCCATTGATCCTAGTATAGTTTAAAGTGGATAGAGCTTAATGGATTTCCTTCAGATCTTAGAGTTCTTGGAGTTTGATTTTTGCATGATATTTCATTTTTATTTTTGCAGTGTGCGAGGCAAGGCTTTGCATTAGGCTTAACTTTATTGGTAGGGACCATACCCAGCATCAAAGTGGACTCTCTTCTGAAACTCATAGTTGATTTGCTTGAGATAACTTCATCAATGAAGGGCCAGGTAGGCAAGACCTTTTGTACATTTTTCATTGAATTCTTTGTTGTCTCCATTTGTAATTCCATAGCTTGCTTGTGGCATTGCAGGAAGCAAGGGATTGTCTTTTAGGTCGTCTATTTGCTTATGGTGCTCTTGCACGGTCTGGAAGATTGGCTATGGAATGGAATTGCAATGAAGACACACCTTACATAAAGGAATTCACTAGTCTTATGATCTCCCTTGCAGCCAAGAAGAGATACTTGCAAGAGCCTGCTGTATCAATAATTCTAGACTTGATTGAAAAGGTAAGGATACCTGGATGAGTGATGTTTGGATTTGTTTTCCCGAAAATTTCTAGACCTTTATTTATCTTGTTCTTCATAATTGGGAAGATTTTCGCGGTATTTTAGTATTAGTAAACGACTCGCCTTGATGGTGATTCAGTCCCTGAAAAACTCATTGGAGTTTCGGGCTAAGGAGTGATGGTGAAAATTGACTTACCCAATAACCAAACTTATCCAATAACTAAGCTTCTATAATATATATATACGGAAAACAGTACAAAGGAAAGAGGATAAGGTGTGCTCATGAATCAAAACAAAAAAAGAAAAGAAGCAACATGAAAAACCTAAAAATCAAAAATCATCAAAGAACCTCCAAATACATCACATCCAATCACCGCTCTACCTCTTTCCAATTAAGAACAATCAAAGAAAGTGGATAGTCTTTAAAGGCTTTATACATTGACGCCCACAAGGAAGTATTTAACTTTGTTTCAAAAAGATCCTTAGCTTTCTCAAAAAGATTCTTAGTAACCAATAACCTTCCCGGTCCAAGTTTAGTGTCAAACTTTTTGCTTCATTTATGAGGCCATTTTGTTTGAAAGAGAAGGGAGGGATTTTTTCAACTATTCTTTTGCGGGTTATTTTTCATGTCGCCTGATTGCTCTGGCCGAGACAAAATATGTTGTTCTGTTTTATTTTATTCCCTTTGTTATGTCCTAATTCTGATAACATGGTGTCTGCTGTTGCAGCTGCCTGCAAAAGCCTTGTTGAATAATGTGCTAGAAGCTCCAGGACTTGCTGAGTGGTTTGCAGGTGCCACAGAAGTTGGAAATCCTGATGCATTGCTTCTGGCTCTAAGACTTCGTGAAAAGACATCTGTTGACAGCTCAGTGTTCAACAAACTTCTGCCAAATCCGTTTTGTCCCAACAAACTTTTTGCTGCCGATCATCTATCCTCTCTTGCTAGTAGTTTGAAGGTAATGTTGCGTGCCTGATTATTTATTCTTTTTAAGTGCTAGATGCATTGCTTTGGTTAAAAAAATATAAGGATGGTGTAATTTCTAAAATATTTGGTTTTTCTCTAATTTTGCAGGAATCGACCTTCTGCCAGCCTCGAGTTCATAGTGTATGGCCTATACTGGTAAATATACTTTTACCCGATGTTCTTTTGCAAGCTGACGATGTAGCATCTGTTTCAAGTTCGTTGAAGAAGCACAAGAAAAACCGGAAGTCTAGCTCTTCTGAGGAAGAAAATGCAAAGAACTTGCAATGCTTTATTGAAGTAATTGTTGAAGGATCTCTTCTTCTGTCATCTCATGATCGTAAGCACGTGGCATTTGATGTTCTGCTGCTTCTCTTGCCAAGGCTGCCTGCGTCTTTTGTTCCAATTGTTTTGTCATACAAACTTGTCCAGTGCCTGATGGATATATTGTCTACAAAGAACTCATGGCTTTATAAAGTTGCACAGCATTTTCTTAAGGAGTTGTCAGATTGGGCCAAGCATGATGATGTAAAAAAGGTTACTGTTGTTGTTGCTCTACAAAAACACAGCAATGGAAAATTTGATTCTATCACCCAAACAAAAATAGTTAAGGATCTTATGGCAGACTTCAAAACAGAATCCGGGTGCATGCTGTTTATTCAGAACTTGCAGGACATGTTCGTGGATGAAAGCCATGCTGTAGAGGAACCTTCTGATCAGAGCCAAACAACAGATGACAATTCAGAGATAGGTTCAAATGAAGACAAAGAATTTGTTGGGACAATGGGAAATTCCGACGTTTTGAAAACTTGGATTGTTGAATCCTTGCCCAGTTTATTGAAATACTTAAAGCTTGATCTTGAAGCAAAATTCCGCATTCAGAAAGAGATTTTGAAGTTTCTAGCTATACAGGGCGTGTTCACTGCATCTCTTGGCACTGAAGTAACATCATTCGAGTTACAAGAGAAATTTAGGTGGCCAAAAGCAGCGACTTCTAGTGCTCTTTGCAGGATGTGTATTGAGCAGCTTCAGCAGTTGCTGGCATCTGCTCAAAAGGGAGAGGGATCACGTGCATTGCCAAACGGTCTTGAGCCAAATGATCTTGGGTCATACTTCATGCGATTCCTTAGCACCTTACGCAACATTCCATCAATTTCTCTCTTTCGTCCTTTGGAAGACGAGGAAGAAAATGTATTTAAGAAATTGCAAGCACTGGAAACTTCACTGTCTAGAGAGGTCCCTTTTTTTCTCTCTTACTTTACCTTAGCTATTGGGTGCAGGTGATTTTGGGTACTCCTTAATTTAGCTCATGCCTGTTTGATAATTTGAGTTTTTTAATCTTTTTTCTTTTTAATAATAATCAGAGTTAAATTTATTTTCATATTTTGAAATTAGTGCCATGTACGGAAATTCCATCAAAAGAATTGACGGAATGCGTCGGAGAGGGCCTATATAGTTCAAAGTTCTGTAGCACATTTTGAAGTTTAGGGGGGTATGGTGGAATAAGTGACATAGTTGGGGAGGCATTTATAAACACAGTCCTACAATTTATCTTTTACATTGAGTCACTTTTATGTCGCTGCATATTTTATTGAATGAATCATCTAACATAATATGCATCTCCTAAAAATTCTTTACATGGCAGGAGAGGAATTCTGGACTGAGCAGTGATGTAAATAGATTGCATGCACTACGATACTTGCTTATCCAGTTGCTTTTGCAAATGCTTCTTCGACCAAGGGAGTTCTTGGAAGCTGCCTCTGAGCTAATTATATGTTGTAGGAAAGCTTACCCTTGTCCCGATCTTCTTGAGTCCTCTGGAGAAGATGACAATGATGATACTGCACCTGCAGTAATGGATGTTATGGTGGATACGTTACTGTCATTGTTGCCACAGTCATCAGCTCCTATGCGAACAGCTATTGAGCAGGTTAGCATTATTGGGCTAGAGTTCTTGGCCTTTAAGTAGTTCTAGTTTCATGTCATTGGATAGATTAATACTTAAATTTATTCTCTTGGGCATCTTATTTAATATTTGTGATTTTATGAGTTTCTTATGTTTAAGACTGTTGTGTTGTGATTTGTATCAAGGTGCCACTGCTGATTTCTGTAACGTCATCTTGCAAATTTTGCAATTCAATTAATTTGATTAACATATTTGATATCAAATGGGTGACAGTTCAAAAGAGAAATTAGTTTTTCATGGCACCACAGACTATGAATGTATTAAAATTTCCTCTTGCCCATCTTTACACTAGACAATTTCAACAAACGTGGTTGATTTATCCAAGTGATGGCATCTTGTGCGCAACTTATGGTTATAATCTGACATCCAATTGTCTTTGTAGGTTTTCAAATACTTTTGCAATGATATCACGGATGATGGTCTGCTGCAAATGTTGCGGGTTATTAAGAGGTCTCTTAAACCTGCTAGGCATCAGGTTGCTGAGAGTGACAATGATGATGAAGATGATGATGATGATGAAGATTTCCTCGATATTGAAGAAGATGAGGTGATTGATAAAGCTGAGACAGGGCAAACGGGTGAAAGTGAGGACCAGACAGATGACTCTGAGGCAGTAGGTGGGTTCAAGAAAGTTGATGAAGAGGTTCCGGAAGCTTCAGATGATTCTGACGAAGGAATGGATGATGATGCAATGTTCCGAATGGACACTTACCTTGCCCAGATCTTTAAGGAGCGAAAGAATCAGGCTGGGAGTGAAACTGCTCAGTATCAGCTTGTGCTCTTCAAACTTCGTGTACTCTCGTTGCTGGAAATTTACTTGCATGAAAATCCAGGCAAGCTCTGAATTCTATGAATATTAGCTAATAGACTAATATAAAGAATTAGGGTGCTGAAAGTGTTTCAAGATAACATATGAACCTAAATTTACGACTAAAAACTATTTTTAGGTCACTTTGGTCTGTAAAGGAATACACTTTTAAGGATGAGTAGGAGTTTTATCAAACGAGATTTATATTGCCTTGGTGGATAATGATTTGTGCCATATTTTGCTGAGCTAATCATGATCTTGTTTTCTTAATTTATGTTCTTATTTTATCATTTCTTTATGCAACAGGTAAGCCACAGGTTCTCTTGGTGTATTCAAACTTGGCGCGGGCACTTGTTTGCCCACATACTGCGGAAAGTAGTGAACAGCTTGGGCAGCGAATATGGGGAATTCTTCAAAAGAAGATATTCAAAGCAAAGGACTATCCCAAGGGTGAAGACGTGCAACTACCTACTCTTGAATCTCTGTTGCAAAAGAATTTGAAGTTGGCATCAAGACCAATCAAGAAAAAGAAACTTGCCGGTAAGAAGCAGTCAGCCTCCTGGAACCGACAGAAGATGATCGCTTCCCTTGCTCAGAACTCCACCTTTTGGATTCTGAAGATCATCGATGCAAGAAATTTTCCCGAATCCGAGCTGCAGAGGGTCTTGGATATCTTTCGGGGTGTTCTGGGAGAATATTTTGATAGCAAGAAGTTCCAAATGAAGCCTGAATTTTTGAAAGAGATATTTCGAAGGCGGCCATGGGTTGGGCGTCATTTATTTGGCTTCCTCTTGGAGAACTGTAGCAGCACGAAATTCGAGTTTCGGCGGGTGGAAGCGCTCGATTTGGTAACTGAAATATTGAAGTCGGTAGGTCCGGCTGATGGAAGCGGCCGAGATGCACTGAAAGAAATCTTGAAGAGCCATCTGAGTAAATTGTGTCATTTGATAGAAGTTTTGGTTACAAATAAGGCAGAAAAGCAGTCGAGGCGGGCTGAAGTTCGGAAATTTTGTGGCAAGATCTTTCAGACCGTATCAACCGTTAAGCTGGCCAAGGCTTTCCTTAAATCTTTGGATCAAAATGTTCATGTCCTCTGCGAATCCCAACTTGGTGATCAATTTCTTAATTTGAAGAAGCTTCCTTAAATTATGATAGAAAGCTCGTTAAAGAATTCTTATTTGTGGAAGCTTCTTTTTAAAATCAAATCACCATTTTTGGCTCATCTAACATGGTTAAAGAGGTTTGTTCGTTCTTGGTTTTACTTTACAGAAAAGTTTTTAGTGCTCTTAAATGTTTTATATAAGCTAGTGCAGCTTTTGTTTCGGCCGTTGGCTAATATGTTAGTTGTATTCTTGACTGGCTTAAATTCCATTTTTGTTTTTGTCTACTTCATATTTGAAGCTTCCTTGAAGCAGTTTTGAGGAAACAATTGTCATTTGTTGCAGATTTTGCTTTTGCACTTTTTGGTAGACTAGTTTAGTAACGTGATCCTCGTGTATTGTCTTATTGGAGACAGCAGACAGCTGAAGAGTTTATTATTTATTGAATAATGAAAAATTTATTTATACAACAATTTAAAGATTTTTAAATTTATTTTAAAAAAGTATGTGTAAAGGGGCTTATCACGGTGACATTCTTTGTGTTTTATTAAAATTAGTCACTTTCTTGATTGAATTTATTAACAGTATGTATTGTCTTATTGGAGACAGCAGACAGCTGAAGAGTTTATTATTTATTGAATAATAAAAAATTTATTTATACAACAATTTAAAGATTTTTAAATTTATTTTAAAAAAGTATGTGTAAAGGGGCTTATCACAGTGACATTTTTTGTGTTTTATTAAAATTAGTCACTTTCTTGATTGAATTTATTAACAGTAACACTGTCAGAAACTTTGTTAAATTTTGGTGAGAAATATCAAAACTACCCATGTGTTAAATTTATTTCCTTCTTTTTTATTTGATTGTTTTAATTAAAAATCGTGTTACGATGTATTGTAATATTTTTAAAGAGTTAATATAAAAATATGTTGAAAAAAGTTAGTTCATTTAATTTTTTGTATTATATTTTTTTTGTCATCAATGTTTTAAGTTTAATTTAAACTATAATTTTGTTTCATTATTAGGATAAAATTGTCCAATTTAATTTATTCTTTCAATTAAATTAATTTTCATTATAATATAGTTGGTCCTAATAATGCACCAACTATTAAATAGTTTTTAATTTAATATGCGAGTTTAGTGGATTGAGAACATTACTAAACAAAGGAGTTTTAGAAAAAGAAAAATGGAAACAATATTTGTTTTTATTAGAGTGAAAATTATAGTTATAAATGTGTAAAAATTAACTAAATTCATTTTTTATGCTAAATAAGAGTATGAACGTCTTTTCCAATATTATGTATAACTTAGAAACAGTAAATAAGGGACATTTTTGGCTTTTTTTTAAAAAAAATTAACAGTTAAAATTGACGGTCAACTAATGGAGGGGTGTCCGTGTAATTTTTATAAATAATCGAGGGGTGTTGACGTGATTTGTTTTGATCAAGGAGGTAAAATTAAGTGAGGATACATTTGATAAAATTATTTTAACCAACTAAAAATAAAATAGGTCACATGCAGAAAAATTACTCTTATAAGAGAAAAGAGAAACAATATATTTTTAAAAAGCACACAAAAAAATTAAAGTGTAAAAATTCACAAAAAAATAAAGATAAAAAAAGAAAAAAATAGAAAGATTGTTACGTGACAACCTCATAAAAAAGAATTTTGTCTGTAATCTCTCAGGCTACGTCCAGTTCATAAAATTATATATATACACATTTAGAAATGTTTAGTAGGGA